CTTTTGGTCCTATGCTCAACCTTCCAAACAAACCCACATAAACAAGAACAAAGTTATATTAAAAAAATCTTTATTTCATGTACCAGGATTTTTTTGTTATTTTCTTCTTTTTAAAATTTTTCTTTTTAACAGTCTGAAAAAAACACAAAATAAAGAAAATGGAGGTTTGTTTCTTGAACTGGTTTGAGCTGAACATAAGCAGTATCCTTGGAAAAATTTCCCCACCAGTCCTAGTCCTCACTCTTCTCCCCCCTTCTTCCTCTCGTTCTCTCTCACACGCACACGTTCACTCACACACATAAGAGCTCATCCGTCTTTATGCAATCAGGAGAACTCTACAGGCATCAAGTTCTCATAAGCAGCTTTGGAATTTCAACCAAAATACCATCCTCTGTCTATGCTGGAGTATAGGAACCCAGTTTTGACTCATTTCTGGGGGGCTGGATATTTAATCCCTTCTGCCCTTTTTTTATTTTACAGATTTGCAGGCTGAGGTTTTGGGAGTCAGCAGGAGTTCTAGACATTCACTAGCATGTGGGGTACTAATGTCACCCAAGCAGTATCTATGCTCTTTAGCCAGTACTGATCCATCTACTGAGGCCTGGGAAGAATTCATTCTGCCACTGCCTCAGTTTTCAACATGCTACTCCCCTACCCTGTCCTGGGAAGGTCTCCACTCTCCTCTGCAAGAGAGGAAAAGCAGGAGAAAACAGCAGTACCTGGGTGGGGGGTGCAGAGTATTTTTTTGTTTCCCCCCGATTTCCATTAAGTCCCAACAAGAGCTGAGCTGTGAGAAATGAAGATTCCTTGAACTGGAGCAGCACTAGTTTCAACAGGAAGAGTCAAGCAAGAGTCTCATGGGGCTGAATCAACTGACCCCTCTCAGCAACCATCACCCCTAAACCTTGCTCCTTCAAAGCAACAACAACTCTGGCATGTACAGGACCATGGAGAATTCATTCCATCTCTTTTGGTCCTGGTCAGATCCAAACCTTGATGCTAACTCAGTGCCATCCAATGTCAGTCTGTCTTGCTTGTTCTTCCACTATTATGTCAGAGCCTGTTTTCTCCATCTCCCAGTAGTAGCATTACAGAGGAAACTGAATTCAAGGAGGCTCTTGTTGCCCTCTAGCAAAAAGCCATGGCACCCAATGTCCCTCATGCGCACAGTGGTGATCTGGATGTATGCTGTGATCAAAACCTGTGAGGGGGTGGGCTGGGAAAGACAGAAATGTCATCTGTGTATGTATGAGTGTGACTCCTTTTTAGCTGAGGTAAACCAAGAGTAATAGCTGTTGAATCAGCAGCATACGCCTCTGATGAGGGAAGAGAATGGGATCTCAGAGCTGAATTCTCCACAGCCTTGCAGCACTTAGGCCCTCACTCCAGAATGAGAGCAGAAGGTTACCCCCCCGGATGAGCAAGAGGAGAATTTGGATCAGGCCTATCAGCAAAGCAGGGATGGGAAGCTGATCTCCTATACCCTAAATGTTGTCTCCTCTCTTGACAAGTGCTAAACAGCAACTAGGGCATGCCTCCACCTGAAGGAGGCCCCAAGAATGGGAGAAGCAACACATGCCAAATCCCTGCTTAATACTCAGCTAGTAAAGGCACAGGAGCCCCTTTCAGTTAAGGGGTTGGCAAGGCCTAGCTATGGGCCTGTGGTATATACACCTACTTTTAATGTCCATATGTAACAGCAGGCATAGTCAGCCAGCGGAGGATCAATAGGCCACTGGGGGAAACTCTGGGCCCATGGAAGACAAGACGCATGGGTCCCTCCTTCTTCCCTTTATTACAACCACCTCACTCCTTCACACAGTTGCTTCCCCGAGGGCTCCCACCTGTAGTTCCTTCTGGTAAACTTCCTGTGGCAGAGACGGGCAATGTTAAGGGATAGATATCTATATATCTATATATATCTATAGATATAGTACCGGGACCATGTTTGGTACAGGTGCAGGGCTTGTGTATGTGTGTGAGCCTGACTTATACATGATGCTGGCTGAGGGAAAAGCATTTCCCATGGGGCTTTGCACTCTCACAGAGTCTCGTTTAACTTGTGTTGCTACCTGTGCAACGCTGTGCGAGTACAAAATTCCACAGTGCTTTCGAATTTGTGGGTGAATCTGGCAAAACCTAGCCATGAATCCGGAAAAGGTAGCGATGTCAGGAAGCTGACATCGCTGAGCAGGCAGCAGTCACCTAGAATGTGATCTTCTTTTCAAGCCTGGAATAGAAAGCGAGGGAACAGCATAGTAGCTTGCCTGGGAGTGAATGTGAGCAGAGGTCTCCATGTTACCACCTAGTCTACATCCAGCGTCCCAACCCCAGCGATAGCAGCATCACCCTCTTCCTAGAAAGAGGTATTTGTCCCCCCCCCCCACTCCCCGGTTATCATGGCCGTTGGGGAATGCTAGCCACTCCAACCAGCTGATCAAGTTCTGGGTATTTTTATGTGTATTTTTGTTAAATGGACTTAGTTTCCATTTTCTCGTTAGAAGCCTCTCAACCCCTAAGATATTAGTTTTCACAGTTTTTTTCAAGCTGAGAAAAAAAAGAAAATAAAAAGAAAAATACTATCTGGCTTTCTTGCAAGTAAATCCACTTATTATATTTACATTTATTTATAGTTTGTTTTCTTTTATTAAAAAATTGCCACTCTTTTTATGAAGCTTTTTTCGTTTTGTTTTTTGCAATGTAACTTAACACCAGGGTAATCACAGGCTAGCCGGACTGAGCTGGTCAGCCTCAGCTTCCTGAGACCTGGAGATCAGTGAATCAGCATTAATCCCTGGAATCCCCAAGGACAGGAGAGTCACTGTTAAGCCCTGTGGACCAACAAGATCATGTTGAATTATTAGTCACTCCAGAGGGTTCGGTACATTTAGGCAGGCCACCATACATGTGCAAACAGGCATCCATTGCGACACCCAAATCACTGCATTTCACTACCGCCTGCCCCTGGAGATCCTCAGGAATCTGCAAGTCCACAGTGGGTTAAAAGTGAAAAGAAAATGTAAAATTAAAAAATAAAAAATAAAACAAACAAAAAGATCCAAAGAGCTGCCTCCTCTTCCCGCTTGGTATTTTAATTTTTTTTTTTTTGTTATTTCTCGGTTCCTTTTTTAAATCTGTTTTTATTAAATGTTAAAATAATGGTACATGGGAAATCATGCATTTTCTTTTAAATTTATTTTCTATTTTTTATATTTCTTTCTCTTGGTTTTTTTGAAGTTTTTTGTTTTTTGTTTTTCCTTTTTTTAAGCTTTTTGTTGTTTCTTTTCGGATGTTTCACTTAAGTTAGTTCTTTTTTTTTTGCTTTTGGAAGGTTTCCCCATGGTTGCTTTCTCCTCTCCCCCCCTGCCCGCCCAGACTGCTCCCTCCCATCTTGCACCCAATGCCCGCTCCCACCTTCCCTGCCCCCATTTTCAGCCCCTCTTGATGGCTTCATACAGGGGTGGTCCGGCGGTTGGCTGTGTTAGTGTGGATAGAGTCCTTGTTTTCTTTCTGGATACAATTGTGAACCTGGAGGAAGCTGTTATCCCTGTCTGAATTGTAGGTGGCGGTGGGAGTGGTGGCAGCCTTCAGGGGGTCCCTGGTCAAGGTATACATCGAGATCTCCGTTGATGGGAGGGTGTTGAACCCTTTGATCCCGACAGGAGAGGCATCCCTGGAGTGTGAAGGCTCAGTGGAACGGGAACTGGAGCGACTGCGTCTCTGATAGCGGTAGCGGTAGCTTGGTATGCGGGTGATGGCAGAGGACTGGAGGTAGTCCGTGGCATGAGCACTGGCACGCAGCTGTTTGTGCCGGTCAATAAACATGTGTACGGCCAGCACTCCCACCATCTCGGCTATAATGAAGGACAGGGCCCCAAAGTAGAAGGACCAGCCATAAGAATAACTGTTCTTCTTGGAGTCGCTTTTTGAAGGGTCTCCAGCATTGGCTGATATGTACACAATGATGCCAATTATATTACTCAGACCTGTGGACAAAGGACAAGAGAAAAGAAAACATTAGAAGGTTTCAGGTACACCATATATGAGTTGAGGAGGCCACATAGACACGCGTGACTGCTCTCTGGTGCTACCAAGATACTTCACCTCAAACCAACACAATTGGCAACTTTTTACAATGAAGTCTTGCAGAGTAGCATTCCCACACTAAGTTTTGTAGTACTATACCTGGCAAATTCCTCTATGCGTGAAGGTCCTGATGATATCTCTGGTCTCAGTCTCCTTTTCTAGAGTATCGTGTGAGACACAACCTAAAAGTGAACTGACAAGGCCAGTCACCATGCCAAAACAGGCAACTTGTGGAGGCTTCACCCATGGAAAAAAGAAAGGTCACGTGACTTATCCTTGACTGTAATAAATGCCTTGCAAATGACTTGGCATCTTCCCAAACAACAGCAAATGGGTTGCATTCTCTACAAACATCCCCATTTAGAGCAATCTACAGTCAGCTCAAGATCAACAGTATATCTTCTTTGGTGCAAATCCTTATCCCCCATCCCTTAGCAAAATGAAACCTAAGTATGCATAACTCAAATAAGAACATACAAATAGGGGCCTGCTAGAAACTTGTAAGGAGGATGCATCCCTTCCCCCCTTTGCTTCCTTCCCTCCCCCCCCCAACAAACTTCCCCCTCTTTCTTCTCCGTCCCCTTCTCTGTCAGCCTACCCCCTCTTTATTTCTCCCCTTCCTTTTATCAGTCAACCTACCCTCTCCCTCTTTTGCCTCCCACCTGTTCTCCATCAGGCTTCCCCCCCCGTCCCTATCAACCTACCCTCTCTCTATTTCTTCTCCCTTTCGCCCTCTCCCATTATCTGTCAACCTACCCCCCTCACTCTTTTGCCCCCACTTGTTTCCCATCAATCTCCTCCTCCCCTTCTCTGTCAACCTACCCCATCTCTGTTTAGGGTTGCCAGGTCCCCTCACTGTTGAGGCAAAGGGATTGGGGTGGGGGTGTTCCAGGGGTGGGTGGGTGTCACCCAGAAGTGACATTGCATAGGCAACACTCTGGTTTTTGGGCAACTCTCTATGGGTTTTTTGCCCCCAAACCAGAGCATCACCACGCAATGTCCCCAATGCGATGATGTCACCCGGACGTGACATGATTGCATCAGGGACGTCGCACAATGATGTCCCTGTTTGGGGGTGGGGTTTCCACCGCCAGCCAGCTGGGACCTTGGGGCTGGCAACCCTATCTCTATTTCTCTCCCCTCTTTCCCCCATCCTTACCTTACCTGTATTAGCTGTGGTGTCAGGAAGCTGCTCTGGGCTCAGAGTTATTTCCCTATCACTGAACCAGGCATGGCTCCAGGCCTCAGGCCAGGCTGCAGTGGTGATGGAGTCTGGGAGCTACTCTGGGCCTGGAGGGCTTCCTGGTTGCCAGTGCCACTGCAGCAGTAACCAGAGGGCCTCCTGGGCACCGGTGCCACTGTGGCTGGGCCCAAAGAGCCTCCCAGATGCCAGTGCCACCATGGTCAAGACTGGAGAGCCTCCCAATGTCTGCCACCACAGCTGCGCCTGGAGAGGTTCCCTGTGTCCTCCACCAACACAACCAGGCCTAGCGAGGTTGTATTTTTGGTATTTTTTCCCCATATGTGTATGTGTTTGTGCATGTGAATGTGAATGTGAATGTGTGCACCTGGAAGTCATGGTGACCTCTGGTGACTGACCCCTACTGGGGGCCTGGAGGATATTAAGAAAGGTGGCTGAAGAAAGCCAGCCCCCACCTTCCAACTGCTGGTATTCCAGGGGGTCTCCCATCCAAGTACTTGCCAGTCAACTCTGCTTAGCTTCTGAGATCCGATGAGATCGGGCTTGTCTGGGCTATCCAGGTCAGGGCCTTCCCAATGGTTTTTTTAACATTTCAGATTCAGGTCCCCCAAGTTTGCAGAAAAATCTGTTTAGCGTCAGCATGGCCCTGATCTGCAGATTTCGATATCTGCAGGTGGGAGCCAGACTTTGGTATTAGATATATAGATTCTCTCCCTGCTCACACCTGCCTACCTTTCCACCCCTCCAATATCTCCTGTGTGATTAATTTTAGAGTAGCCCTGCTGTGGGCTGAGGAATAGGGAGACAGTCAAATCACCATTTCCTGTTTTGGTTTTTTTTTTAAAAAAAAACAATTGGGGAGATCTTTTACATTTTTATCCCACCTCTCCTTGAAGGAGCTCAGGATTGAATAAAAAATTATCTACTATTACAGGGGTGTCGAACTCATTTCTTATGAGGGCCAGATCTGACATAAATGAGACCTTGTTGGGCTGGGCCACGTGTCTCATAAAATGTAGTGCTAGGTTGCGGATTTTTTTTTTAACTTAAAATAAAAACATGTGTAAAACATTAGCTCTGTAAGCTGCAAACCTACTTTTGATTTATTGAGATTCACCACAGAAATCTCATGCTCAAAGTTCTGAGTCTAGGACCCAGGTTAAAACATGAAATGGCTGAATAATTAAGAGAGTCTGGCGAAGCAAGCTATGATGCAGCAGCAGCAGCAGCACAACTGGAAGCAGGAGATGGCCATTTCCACTGAGGGCCTGATGGAAGCCCTCTGGGAGCCTGATTTGGCCCCTGGGCCGCATGTTTGACACCCCTGTACTAGTATATATTCCAGAGAAGTAGAGAGGAAGTGTACCATCTTCAAATAATTTTTAAGCGAAGTAAAGGTCTGTAAAAGGGATGTTCAGCACTTTAAAAACCCCTCAAATCCACATTCCACGCTGTATCCACAGTCACAAAAGACACACTAAAGTGTGTGTGCGGTGCTGTATTTTCAAATTTACAAATGAGTATCTCTTATGCATGGACAAAACATCCCTTAAAGGACACAGAAGTATTCTACCAGGGTTTTTTAAACATGTGGTTATTCTTTCCTCTTCTGTGCCCTGTCCTTTAGGGCTCTTGTCAGCTGCCGACAGGGTCTTGTTTCTGTTTTTAGTTTGGGAAGTATCATCCAGAATATTAATGCTTTGTGAACGAATAGTAACTATTCTGTTTGCACAACACTGTTGTAGTACACTATGGCCTCAAAGTAAAATATAACAAGTGTAATTACCGATACCACTGAGATATGCACTGAGTCAAATTATGATTGTATGATGTTAACTGCTTGGTACCAATTAGAGATTCTTTAATGTGTAAACTATATGTGATGTCATTTGGGGTATAAGACCTACTGCCCTTTCTGGTTATGGCGGAATACAGTTTTGGAATTGCTGAGTGCAAAAGCACTCAGCCCTGTATTCCCTGTTTCAATGCATTAAACAGATACTCATCTAACTCGTTGGACTCCGACTGTGTGTTTCCAATTCGGCATGGGAGCACGCAGACACAGATTTGTGTATCAGTAGGAACCAAGGCTCGGCAAGTGACTAATACTCCGACTTGGTTCTCCAGTTCAAGAGTCTCCCAGCCACTGCCCTCTGCTATCTTCTCATGGTTCCTTAGACTCATTGCATTGCTACTGCTGACACAGTTTTATGCCACCTGGTTAGTGCATCTGAGGTTACACCCACACAGCTGTTTTGTTCTGCCTTGACTTTCAAACTGGAGCAGTGTTTTTTGGAGCATCCACATGACATCGTCCTCCAACCATCCACTTTCCAGGTTCTCCTCCTGTTTTGTTCCAGTCTTTCCCAACCCTCCTTTGCCACAGTCTTTCTGGAATGGCTGCCTTCCAAGCAGGATGGATGGATAGATTTTAATCTTTCTCCACTTCAATGCCATTTTACTGCTATCTTCCCCTTCTACCTGCCGTCTTCCCTGCCATGCCACTGGATGGCTTTTTGCTAAAAACATTCATAGTTGCTATATCGCTATAGCGTGATAAAGCTATAATAACTTACCATTTTTTAAAGAACTGGCAAAAAGGTCTCTGGTGACACGGCAGGGCAAGTGGTAGCAACAAGAGGATGACTGAGGAATGTGCATAGGAAAATCTTGTGTAGATGCTCTATTGCCACTGTGAATGGCTCTGCATGGCCCAACTTCTGGCATGAACAGAAGTGATTCCATCTTATTTCTGGTGACACTGTAGCATTCAGCCAAAACTCTATGGTTGAACTGAAGTGTGAGACCTGACATCCCTGGTGGAGGAAAGTATCACCATCACAGCTGAATTATGGCGACCCCTTAGGGTTTTCAAGGCAAGAGATGTTCAGAGGTGGTTTGCCATAGCCTGCCTCTGTGTCACGACCCTGGTATTCCTTGGAGGTTTCCCATCTAAATACTAGTTTGGGCCAACCTTGCTTAGCTTCTGAGATCTGACAAGAGGCCTGACATCACTACCTCAGGTTAAATTATGACATGCCAGTACATGTTCTATGAAGTGCTATGACACTAAGGCTTGAAATAAAGGGGCACGCATTATGTCCTAAAGGCTAAAAGAAACCTGGTAATCCTGGAAAATCACAAAATCACACTTTGTTCATGTGTATTAATGCTGTTTGAAACTTATCCTGGATGGCACCCAGCCTGCCAAAGTTTAAAAATCCAATAAATGTTTATTAACAGCTGTGGCGGAATGGGCCTGCTCTGGCCTGCAGGCCCTGTTTCACCTTGCCCTCCAAGGTTTTCCCCAACATCTGGAGACACTTTAGTTTCTCTCTCCGGTAACCACTGCCACCACCTGACCTTTGTAAGGAATTGCCTGCTGAGAGTGTCAGGACTCCCAGCTTCCCTCAGGGCCTTGCCTCTCTGTCTCCTGCTGCCCAGCGTCTGATCACCACGGGGGCAATTTACTGCCTTGTGCGCCCTGGAGGAATAGCCACTTGCCAACTGGCTGCCTTCTCCCTGGCACTCCTTTTAAAATAGCATATCCAAGATGGTGGAGGTCTACATGGTACAGAGAGCCACTACCAGTATCAAAGGTTATAAAGTATTTATTAAAAAGAAAATGTTCACAAGCATACTTTTAGCATAGCACTAGACTGAGGAAGGGATTCAAAAGAAATGGGTAATATGCAGTTC